TCAGCCAAAAATTCAATTAATTAAAATAATATAAAAAAAATTTTTGTGGTTGTAGCTCACTACTGTTCGAAAAAACTCTTTTCGATAAAAAATTTTATTTTGCTTTTATTCCCATTAATCAGTGATCCAAATTTTTTGCAAACTTCAGTTTTTAAAAAGTTGTACTTCAGCTTTTTTATATTATTATCAATGATTATTATATATTTTAACCAAAGAGTCTTAACCAAAAACCAGTTATAATTATTTTTTATTGCGTTAAATGCTTCAGCAGCTATTTGCCTTTATATCGAGAAAGACAGTATATATATTAGTTCGGTCTAAAAGTCAATTCCAGGCAAATATATAACCCGTCCGCCACCTCCACATTTTTCGTTCACAACATCATTTTTGTTACGATCTGTACAGTAGTTCTTTTCATATTTATTCAAGATTCATTTGATAACGGTCCTACATTTTTTAAATTTTTCTTGTCCTATTTATTGAATTTTTTTTTTAAATCGGTTTATTTTTCATTAAAATTTATTACAAACCAATGTTTTATTTTTACCAATGATTTTCTTTCATATTCATTCATTTTTATTACTAAATTAATATTTTTATTATTATTTCGGTAATGTGATCTATTATAATGCGTATTTATAAAGAGAAAGGTTCAATATATAAATATAGAGCACATTTTTTGACTCTTAAGTTATTGTCTAACGATTACCTTACAAAATTATAAATATTAAAATATTTGTTCAACTTTTTTTGAGATTTACTTTATTCGATTTTCCTAATACATTATTTACCAAATATAATGAAAATCTTACATGTATCTATAAACTAATTTGGAATACACAAACAATTTTAGATATATTTTTATGAAACATGTTTCAAGATGTTAATAAAACATGTAATATAGTTAGAATTTTAATTTTATATAGAGAATGTTCACTTCAATATTCAATATTTCAATATTTCAATATTCAATATTTCAATATTTCAATATTCAATATTTCAATATTTATATACGTTAGGCCATTTTTATATAGAATATAGGAATCGGAACTGGTCGATATAAGAACACATTTTTAACGTTCACACAAAGCCATATTTAAGTATGGTTTTCAAAACCTAATTCGAAAATTGGGAACATTATTTGAAAAATTCGATTAGACAGAAAATAAATTGTATCAATATATCTTAAGAACATTTACCTCTCCATGTTTTTGCAATTGATTAAATGTATTTAATCATTATGTGAAACGCAGTTTGAACATTTTATATGCTATTTTTAGCATATGTATTAGTACTAGGTTAGGCTATGTTAGTTAAGCGTGTCAAGCAGGAAACCACGCAAACATTTATTAGCCTCTAGCGACACCAAGTAGAACTATAACTCCACACCGATTTTGTAGGTATTTTTTTCGAAATTGAATATATGCTTGAAGCGTTATTCTTAAGAAAGAACAACCCAGCATATTAAAAACTATTAAATATTAAAAATTATTTAAAATGCTTGGTTTAAACACCAGACTTTGGTAAGACTTCAACTTATCACTTGTGCCATATGTTTCGTATACATGCATCAGGATACCACGACAATTGTAGACAAAATTTGTAAAAATACTTAAATGAAATAAATAAACTGTAGTTAGTAGTATTTGCAATTTCGGACAGATGAACATATATCACCAGATTTGCAAATACACACTACGAATAAAATAAAACAAATCTACTACTACTAATTTCTCAAACTCCTTCCGGAACATAGGGTCTCCAGAACTAGTAAACAAATATTTCAAATTTACGGCTCAATCTATAGTTTAGGATTTTTTATTAAGTCGTTTGTTGTATATAGATTACGATTGCATATATCATCGGCATTAAATACTTATAGCATATTCAATGTAATACATATTTAACTTATGAAAGTTGTTTACAATTTATAGAATGATTTTATTATGCCATGATTTTGCTACAATATTCGCACGATGAAATTACTATAAACTTCAGGAAGAAATAAATTTATTAATACTTCAATGTGGCAAAATTCATAGTAATATTTTAATATTAAAAACTTATTATAAATATTTTTATTACCTTTAAACTTTACTGGGTAATTAAGATAAGTTCAGATTACACTTACCTTAAATACATTCACGAAGTAATGAATTGCTGAATTCAAATGAAATTACTTTGAGAGACTACGTATTTTGTAGAGGTACAGATGCAGATACAAGTACATCGTGGTGACTGGGAAAAAAGTTCTTAAGACATTAAAATTTTTGCTAAACATGAAAATAAATTTATAGCACAAAAATATCCCAAGTAGTTTAATTTCTGTTTCAAGTGTAAATGTAAAATATAGTATAGTTTTAAAATGAAATGGTTACTGCCATAATTTCGAGCATCTAGCAATTTTTATACGTTTACAGATAACGAAAATAAATTATGCCATGTACGCTTCTATTGGGTAGTAGGACGACTCGGAATTCTTTCGTAGTAAGAATGGCAGTAGTAAAGTGGCTTCATAACTATAAAATTCCTTGAAAACATAAACGAAAAATGGAAAAAAACTGAAGGGAGATATATATATTTATATGTACATACGGATGGTAGCAGAACAGTCGAAAGTATTTCGGGGTCGAATTGAGTACAAAAAGTCATTAACGCCTTCAGCAACGATTCAAGATAATTTTGCATTAAGTGCACAAAATAAAATTAAAAAGTAGAAGTTGGAAAACTGGAATTCATATAAATTACAAATTGTGAAATGAAAATCTGGATTAAAAGATTAAAGTAAGAAAAAAGTACGCTGAGTTAATTGCAAAGCATTGCGAGGAGTACGTAGATTGAATTAAGTTGACATTTTTATGTGCAACTTATGCTTTGAGCTAAATTACCTTCAAGCCATTAACTATTACTGAGCATTAAGTACGATGATGTGATTTGCGGAAAGGATTATGATTTCAGAGCTAAAAGGTATTATACTGAAAACCTGTAGTGTATATGCATAGAACTACAGTATTATTTTTAACTACAGATGTGTTAGTGGTAAAGAAAGTTCAAAGAGTTTTATTACGGCGAAGAAAGCTTTAATCGTTTAATATGTTATTAGTCTGTCTGTTAGAAAAAGAAATAGAAGGGATTTAAAACCTTAGTGTGTATAGAGGTACTTGAATAAAAAAATACTAACTCTAATATATAATACAATATTAGTAATATAAAAAGAAACTAAAATAATAAAATTATGTTCCAGAAATAACTCAAAAGTAATATTTTAGAATACATATTTCTCGTTTTATTACTAATCGCTAGTTTGATTAGTGAAGAGTAATTTGACTTGGCCTCAATGGTTGGGAAGAGAGTTT